CCACATTTTTAATTTCTGAATATATTCTTGAATAATTATGGGGAAGTTGGGGCTTCCCTATAAAAAAACAACAAAAATTCATTATATATCGTTGTATTGGTATAATTAGCAACAGTCTGGTAATTGTGTATGTGACATTTCACTGATCAAAATAGGAACAAGAACCAAAATAAAACCTCAGACTAAAATATCATATTACATAAAATCATTTTTTATATTCGTTCTGTAAAGCAACGACAAATACAAATTTGCATTTTTAGATAGCATCTTGAGCATTGTTCTTGTTGAAAAGTGACGGTCCAATACAGATAGAATAAGCATTTAAAATTTAAAAAGGACAAACAATTTATAACATAACTATAAAGTACATGCATGCAAACCCGATGAAACTGAGATTTTTTTACTTATTGTCAAATTATATTGTACAAATTCAAGTGTCGGTCCAATTAAAAGAGTCTATAAAAATGGAATATAAATTAGTTAGTAAAGAACTGTCTTGTTAGAATTAATAATGTTATTGCTTTTAAACTCGTTTAGATCATGTCATATATTTTAGCTATTTTCAACTTAAGTCAAACTTTCTTTTAAACAGAAAAGGAAACAAAGTAGACCAAATTAAATCTAAATTTATATATGAAATACTCGAATTAAATCACTCATTTAATTGTAAATATTAGTTACACATTTTGCGAAGAATGAGATTTGCAAGATCAGTTTAGGTTTGTGGTTCAAAAAGAAAGTCTGGCTGAAAAGATGGACGGTTAAGAATGGTTGTGTTTGCTACGCCGCATTACCAATTAACTATTTTTCGATTTCGTTCAACTATTGTATGTATTTGAAAAGTTATTTTGAAATTTATCTAGGTCAACTGTAGATGTGCTCCTGTTGAATAACACTATTTCTATAACAATAGTAAAACAGAATATAAATGGCCTCGTTCTTGATGGATCAAATTTGTCTGCTGTACAAAATGATACATTTGATACATTTAATGTATCTGAACCCCTACAAAATTATGTTGTGTTACTAGTTAGTGTAAGGTTTGGATTTCATCACATTTACCATAATTATTAAAAAAGGTGTAAAGTTTGGACTCCAAGTGTACGGCTTTGGAACAGGCGTAGCTGGTTATGCGTATCCAGGAGGTATAGAGCTAACATTGTCAGATAAATGCCAGACTTTCTATTAAAACCACTGCTCTAATGATATAAGTTCCTGGTCCTTCGAGATCATTGATTCCAGCACATTAATGTTGAAGAATAAATGAGGTGGTGCTAATGGGCGTGAGAGATATTGCACTTTTACATTATCTCCAATGAATACACTCTGTCTGTATCTATAGCATAGCATGTTGCGGTTTTGTGATATCTTCAAAAATGATGCCCCTTTAGTGACTTTCCAGTAACATTTTGTAACTACTTTCTTGAAAAGCTGTGCATTTAAGCTATTTGAGGGAGTTTGTTTAAAGTGTTCACAAAAAAATAATGTACATTGCGAGAATTAACGGCAGAAGTTTTTTGATTAAATTTATCGTGTCTAGATGCATTGGTTGAATAACGGTGTGTTATGTTAACAATTGAACAATAAGATATATTTGGCCTTGGGTAGATTATCAATTGTTCTTATTTTTATATCACTGTCTAGCACCCGGGCATTAAAATACTTTTGTTATGATTTTTATACAAATGTATACATACATGGTTTTATGTTGAAGAATACCGCCATTATCATTATTATCAAATTCGCAATGATTATCAAAGGTCATATCGTTTTTGATTTAAACATGCTTGTTCATGTGTCAATTGAATGAACGTGTATGATCGAACTTGAGTATTATCAACTTTCAAGTTTCATCAAAAATGTTTTCTTTTTGTTTAATAGTTTTAGTGAATATCCTCAAGTGTTTCATTTTTTTTATCATTACACCGATACCATGTCTCGATTTTCACCCCACTTATTATAGTTAATGATATTTGATTTAATCTGTGTTTTAAATGATTGCTTTTAAAAGTGGATTGGTCTACAATGGATATATTTTCAATACAAAATTCAAATATTGATAAAAAAACAACAACAAACATCAATCATTTAGATATATTTACGAATATTTCATTGAAAATAAAGTTGTTCAAAGTGATTTTTATAGAATTTATCGAATGAATGATAATATTTTGTTCTAAAACAATTCTTTTCTCATATGTATAATTATCTAATGTCAGATCATGTACCTGTCACTGAACAACAACGTTAACATACAGATATAATTCTTTCGCAGTTTGTTTGTCACATATAATAACATAATTATTTAAGGTATTGTGTGCCATCGATTGAAGACCAATCCACTTTTACATTTTTATATGCTTCGCTTTTCAATTTTAGATCGTAGATAGATAGTAGTTAAATAGGGAAGGGTCTTTTTAGCAGGCAATGAATTAGAAAATGAACGCCATTATGTATAAAACCAAAACCGACTAAATTGTAGGTTCATCAAATCAATTTCATTTACAGTATTGAAATAAGATATTCCTTTAAAAAGCATTCAGTAATTAACGTAAACGACATATTCTATCAATGGAGAACAAATTGAATAAGACAACATAGAAAAATCTAAAATAAAATTTGGTAAATAAAGATAACGTTAACACAATATATTTCCATGTATATTATGCTAGACAATCTTCAAATTGATTTATCAACCTTTTCATTAAAAAAAATATTGTGTTATGTGTTTATGTCAGTTTATAAACATCCTTTTTCAAATAATTTATGTGTAGATTTGGTCTTCAAAAATATTTTTTATAATATTAACAAAATCGTGCGCTTTGTTCTTGACGCTAGCTTATAAACTAACTAACTTAGTAAACATTTTACCACATTTTGATATTTTAATTTCTGTGCAATCAATTTGATAACACCGTTTTCCATTCGGTTCATTAAATGGCCTTTCTATCATTTTAAGAACATGCGGCTATGATTTAGGAGACAAATTAAAAAAGACCTAAAACTAACAATATAAAATCTTCATTCTCTTGTTGCGGTGATTAAATTTATGTATTAATAAGTGTTCCTAAAAATAGAAGGAGGCCTCTATCCCACTTGCCACCATTGACGTGCTGTTGAAAATTAAAAAGCTTTCTGTTTCTATAAATAGAAATGAGTTACTTATTACCTAAATATTTACTTTTTGATGTTCTTAGTTTGCTCAGGAGTACTCTTTAACGGGATAACTTTCTGATCATCAGGATGACGCCACCCTTTGAATGCAAAAGGAAACAAAACACAAATGTTGAATAAACTTAAATCAACCAAAGTTTTGTGGAAGTTTTTATTTACACTAAACTATATGTTACTTAAAGCTTAACAAGTTATCAATGTGTACTTAAATATAAACTGTTAATATTAATCCAAAAATGTTATTTTCAAAGTAAACTAGCTAAATAAAAGATGTAAACCAGTTAAAAGTTGTTAGAAATGTTATAACTGAACATATGAAAAATGTCATTAATGATTTTGTGCTGTTAAACTAGTAAACCTAAATAGTAGCAAGTCCTGTTCTATTCTGTATCAACAAAAAATAAAGATCTAATAATTCAAGATGGCTGCCACTTAAAACAAAGAAAAGATGTTAATTAATCTGAATCAATTCTGTAAAAAGAAATTACTAAAATTAGTTAGAAATTTATCAAAAATATTTTAGTGAATTTAGATAATCTCTAAGGTTTATACTTAATGCCAAAGTGCCTAAAATAAATTAAATACTTAATTAACCTAAGAGAACTTTTAGAGATGTTACTTCTTGGGAAAAAAAAAGGGATGCCCCGGTTTAAAAAACTTTTTTGAATTTCCCCGAGGGGGGCCCGCACATACATTAAAAGGGGGCAAATGCAAAGGGGGGCATCAGATTGGGCAGATGAAACCCAAAAAGAATTTACTTAAAAATGCCATTTCGCTTATCAAAATTTTTTACATAAATATTCTAAAAATAGGTTTTGGGTTCATTTGGGGAAAAGTTTTTAAAATTTAAACAAAAATTAACATTTTCTACAAAAAGGGTGGTTTCTATTATTTTCTAAGGGATTTTGCAAAATAATTAAAAAGTCAAAATTAAATAAGAACTAAAAAATATTTATAAACATATAAGTACAATTATTGTAAATTAGTATTCCAAATAAATTATTATTCCAAATGGAAGTAAAAACATCCACTTTGTTAACATTTTGCTAATTTTATCATAATTTATACCACATTCAACGTTATTTTCTTTAGTTGATAAACATAAAAAACATGTTTGTCTTTTCAACAGAAAAAATATTCTTCATTTATCGGACATTATGTGCCTTAAAATACAAACATTATTTTTTGAAGGGTTGGGCTAATCTCTTACTCAGAAATAACCACAACTACAGCGCCACAATGATGAATTCATTTCAAATACCCTTTGTATGTGGTGGCCGTTTTTACAATTTCTGATGAAAATAATATTCCCATGAGAAAAGCTCATTCTATATTATTTACTCAATTTTTGTTTCATGTAAAGATTTTACTATTCCATTATTGGATCGCAAAGTGTTTTTAAGAATAAAAACAGTATTTAAACTTCAAGAGCTGCCATGGTATCGTAAACACGTGTTCCAGAAAAAAAGACACATTCAGAGCAAATAAATAATTTTTTGCAGGTCATTATGCAACATAAGTTGTAATAACATTACTTAAATGACATGATGTTGAGTTCAATAACACACACAATATTTTATATACATGTATATAGTATTTACATCCATTTTTAACAGAACAGAACAGAACAGAACACAACACGTTTATTCAACAATAAGGAATTGAACTTACGTTCCTCTTCCATACATGCAATACATATAAACATAGGTCAATATACATGCATAAACATATTATAATTATATAGTCATAATTTTACATATTATACAATTTACAAAAAAAGAGAAAAAAACATCAAAACTACAAGACATAATCAAAACTATAATCGAATGTAGAGATAAATATCCTGGTCAAATGTCTTTGAAATATTTGTTTGTTTTAAAACGTTATGCCACGATTATCACTGTAACTTGCGAACATTTGCTTCAGATCATTCCATTTTGTCTGAAATAAACATATTTGGCAATAAGGTATATTTGACATTATTCAAAATCACTTGAAGTAATAGAAAATACATACCGACATTCATGAACCGCCACGCGAGGAATAACAAACTATCAAATTGTGTTTAATGGCCATACCATACTATAAGGTATGGCCTCTGTTTATTGTTTTAACCAACAATACTTAAACATGTGCAAAGAATAGTACATACATCAATATTATGCAAATTAATACAATATAGAAAATACACATGTAGGAATAATAATTAATCGAGTTCTACTATAATAGTAAGAAATGTGAGGGTTTCGTTGTGTTTAATGGCCATACCATACTATAAGGTATGGCCTCTGTTTATTGTTTTAACCAACAATACTTAAACATGTGCAAAGAATAGTACATACATCAATATTATGCAAATTAATACAATATAGAAAATACACATGTAGGAATAATAATTAATCGAGTTCTACTATAATAATAATAGTAAGAAATGTGAGGGTTTCGTAAGAAAAACGCACTGAAACATGTGCAAAGAATAGGACATACATCAATATTATGCAAATTAATACAATATAGAAAATACACATGTAGAATTAATAATAAATCGAATTCTACTATAATAGTAATAAATGCGAAGGGTTCATAAGAAAAACACCCCCTTACATAATCATTAACATTACAAGTGTTACAGAAAGTATTGCATGTATAAAAAAGTAAATACTGCCTATCTTTCTAACAATCACTGAAATATGTGGGTTACACTGAGACCCTTAAAATTTTGTTGTGGTGAAGGGGGTGGAGGAGGGTAAAATTTTTGCTTCCTCTTTCTACGCTTCTTAGTAATTGCTAACTGGTTCAAGACGATTTTATGTAGGGCTATTATCCGTTCAGCCGTCTCTACGAACGGCTAAAACCCGTACCTCCCGTGGCGGCGCATAAAGTTCGCTGATGCTTTTCGGCATAGCTTATATTTATGAACCGCCACGCGAGGAATAACAAACTATCAAATTGTGTTTAATGGCCATACCATACTATAAGGTATGGCCTCTGTTTATTGTTTTAACCAACAATACTTAAACATGTGCAAAGAATAGTACATACATCAATATTATGCAAATTAATACAATATAGAAAATACACATGTAGGAATAATAATTAATCGAGTTCTACTATAATAGTAAGAAATGTGAGGGTTTCGTAAGAAAAACGCCATAAAAGCTAGAATTAGACTAGCTTTTCCCCACATTTCACTGCATAGGAGAGAAGACCAAGGTTAATGATCTTGAAACTTTAACCAATAAAGGGCTTATTTAACAGAGAATTCCCGAAGGTATAAAAATTGGTTAATGGTATTATTTTTTTTTTTTTTTTTTTTTTTTTTTAACTGAAGCTAACCAACCTATGATATTTAATGAAATAATAATCAAACATATCATTTGTCACAAGCCCCAGCAAGTGACCCGAATATATATACACACAATGTTATAACTATTGTCACCAGCCCAAGCAAGTGATGTTCATTATGTACAAATTAAAATGTTGACATTATGTGTTGACTGCCTAGATCGATATGCCACAAAAATATTAACAATTTTAATAATGGTATTAACAATTTTAATAATGGATTGGTCCAGATTACACCAGCAACTAAAAGTCTTTAAATTAGTTAACAATAAAGTCTTTGCATCATTATAAACAATGTTCAGCATGATACCGGCCGTCTTTATTGTCTAATAATAGATTATGATATAATCAAAAGATTAACCAATAAACTCCAAATACGCTTTTATATAGAAAACAATTGTAGTAAACATTATAATAGATGACACAAAGTCGAACAACAAAAACCAACAATTGTAACAAACTTTATAAAAATGACACAAAGTTGGACAACAAAAACACCCACATTTACACATGTATGTAAAAATATAGATATTGTATATATAATATTGTATATAAAGATATTGTATATATCATATAAACTACTGATCATAAATATTTTTCAAATCGTGGTCGACTCGCCCAGGAAAAACCATAGTCTGGAAACCTGTGCCCTTTTATCTTGTGTCTAGTACCACTTGATGTAGGGCTACATCCTTGAAAAATATTTTACAAACCCTTTACTTCAAGTAAGTAGGCTGCTAAACATAAAAGTTAAGTTAATGCATTTTGAGTACAAAATGATAATATGCAAAATTAGAAAGTAAAACAAAAACAAAAGGAAACTTATATAGGTAAAAGTCCAAAAGTGTACGATTTGCGCGCCTCCTGCTGTTATTGTGCTGTCATAAGATCAAAGAAATATACAGTTGTATATTTCAGACATATAAAATAATCAGTTGTAAATTCTAGACATATAGAACAGATTAATTAACGTTACAGTATAAGCTTGAAAAACATATCTTAAAGAAATTGGTGATGGTTACTAATAAAACGAATTGTGACATAAAGATTACTTTACAATTTACAGACAAAAATATAGATAATTATGAAAAATCTTGTTGTCTACATATAAAAGTATATACATATAAAAATACACTTACTATCACTATTAGTATTGTTCTTGAAAAACCAAGAATGTTAAAATTAGAGTCACTATAAACAGATCTTATCTTATCTTATCTCATCTTATCAATGTATATTTATCACAAACTGTTCTTAAGTAAACATGAAGTTCAAAATAAAGTTAGGATTAACGTGTTATTTATACATAGTTTATTATCACTCTTGTGCGTTAAACTACAAAAACATTTTGATTTGTTAAACTGATAAACTAAATTCAATATATAAGCTATAATTAACATTTAAGCAATACATAGTTAACATATACTTCAATATGTTAAACTAGTCTAACTGTGATTTAATTTATTAAGACATTTTATTCCTTAAGTGAATGCATAGTTCGAAAAGAACATACAAACTTTAGGTAATTGTTAATTCAATTTACAAGTTAAAATTAATTAACATTTAAACACTACATATTTAACATACACCCCAATATGTTAAACTAATATCTAAACAAGTACTGTCTCATAACAACATATTTATTAGGTACAGGATGCATAGTTTGAAAATAAAATACAATATAATTTTATAATTAATGTATACAGTATAATTAATATTTAAACAACACATACATGTAGTTAATATACACCCCCATATGTTAAGCTAGTGTCGTAAACTGGGATTATCTTAATGCTCACATATTCACTCTATTAGATTAAAATCTATTAACTTGTAAATCGTTAATGCATAAATCTTGACAATGTTGTCAAATTAAATCAATTTCAACCAAAAAGTTATATCTTTCATTCTAGCATCTCATATTAAACATACACAATGATGCTGCAAATTAGAAATGTGTTATAGACACAATATCACTGTGTTACATACGTAGTCAATTTAGGGAATGTTTTAACGTCAATAACGCATATTATTGCTAATATACTTAGAATACATCACAATATGTTTAAATGGTGTCGTAAATAAAACAACACATTTATTTATCAACAAATATGTGTTAAAATAACAATGTATAGTATTTCTAAAATTTATAAAGAAACTCGTGATTAAATGAATAACATATAATGTAAATAACACTTTCGACGTTAATAATAAACACACGCTAGGATTGTAATTTTTCATAATCGTTACCATCTTATAAATTCAGTTGTACTGAATTAAATGAATATAATTCTTTAAATGCTTCAGAAGTAAGTTTCAGATTGATAAGTCTAACAAATGGACCTATTAAATGCCTATAAAATCATCCATACGATTTGTTACATGTGGTATTAATTAACACAGGTACTTAAACTACGCTACACTACAGTGATATTGATTACCCATCAACTAACATTGCATGTGTTCAATAGTACTATCAGCAGTGTTATGTAATATTGTAATGATTATCATTTCTGCATTGCAGGCAGGCAATGGTATATGCTAAATTATGTAAATTATCAGACTTGCATGTAACTTGTAGCCGATATCGCAACGAGAACTTCCAACAAATAATTAATATTACAAAAAAAAATTCATTTGTTGAAATTTAACTAAATTGTTATTATGTTATTATGACAATCAGTCACTATAAAATATGAGTTTGTCAGTATAAAAAAAGGTGTGTTATTAATACTCTTTCGACTTTTAAATTTATGTCTAAATGAATTGTCTACTTATTACCATACACCCCAATATGGTAGCAGTGGGTAAAGTTCACAAGATATCACAGATCAGGTGTCAGAGTCTTAAAGTTGTAATCCAGAAAGTCTCACCAATGATATTGTATACATGATATGTAAAATTGTCAAACTCCTCAAGGTGCCTCATGTATTTTATCATGTACTTATATGAAAGATTTATGAAATGGTTCACACTCAAGAAATGTTAAAAAATTGAAATATTTGGAGTCGGTTTGTTTTTGCATCAGTTTTATTTTTGAAGAAATCGTTTTTGTTTTTGTTTTTTTTTTTTTTTTTTTTTTTTTTTTTTTTTTTTTTTTTTTTTTTTTCCAAATGCTGGAATGTAAGAACAGTCATCTAAGTGTTTCCATCCGTCAGATTGTTTGTGGTCATGTTTAGGTTTTATTTCCTTTATAACAACTAATTATTCCCTGTATGTGGATGTCCTTCTTTAATGTTTTTTGTGGTATAATCTCGTACACTGGTACTTCCGTAATTTTGTATTTACTAGTAGCTGTATGCAAAGTTTGTAGATTCTCTTCAAGGCTCTCCTGTAAAATAAATGAGAGAGAACAAGTACCTTGTTTTTCAAACAAAAACATAAATTCATTTTCAAAGGTATATTTCCTTAACTGTTGTTTTACATAGCGGATATGTATGTCGGTAGTAATTGTATTGAAGTATAACGGTCAGTCGATACGAAAATAAAATAATAATAATTATAATAAAACTGCCATATTTTATTTATTTAAGGTTTTGTTATTCATAACAAAATCAAAAACACTGACTACTATTATAATAGTACCAGATTAATATAATAATCTGGTACATGACATGGAGGCAAGGCCTTTGCCGCTGAAACATTAAATATCAATTCATTAGGAACTGACTACTATTATAATAGTACCAGATTAAATATAATCTGGTACATGACACTGGAGGCATGGCCTTTGCCGCAAATATTTAAATTAAAAATAGTAACACTTTAAATTCTTAATAAGAATAAATCCATAATTTATTTCATTCGTAATTAATATATGCTTATGTTTTTAATCATTTTAATTTCATGTTGCCATATAAGAGATACCACCCATTAAAATTCTGGCTATTATTAATTAATAACATTTTTATGATTCTTATATATATATATATATATGTGTTTTTTTTTTTTATCTATTATTATTATTATTATATATATATATATTATTATTATTATTTTTTTTTTTTTTATTATTTACTTATATAACAAAATATATACATATATAGATATGTATTAAGTTTTAATACTTTGTTCACTTGTTTAATATGTATTCATTTTTTATTTATTTACTTTTGTATTTAAATATTTATTATCATTATTATTTATTTTTATCTTTTATTGTTTATGATCATTCTACTTCCATTTGCTTAACCATACTGATAAAGTAATTAGCTAGCAATACAATAAAGCATGGACATCTTAGGGATGAGAATGTATATCAATGCCTACATCAAAGAATTCACAGTTCAATGTTACTATTATCCTGTTTGATGATACCAATATCTCTGCAGGGGTACTGAATTAAGCATGAACAAAGTTTTATGACCCTAACTTACTTCCAAGGCATCTTGCATCTGGCATTAATGACCATGACAAATTACTGCCAGACAGACAATTTCTCTATCTTCCTCTTTCATAACCTAAGTGCTTATGCTATTTAAAAAGATATATTCACACATTAAGTAAGTAAACATAAATTTATGGCGGTCCAGTCATTAAAAAATTTTTTTTTTTTTTTTTTAGAATGATGTTAAAGACTAATTGCTCTAAAAACAATTTATTAAAGCCTGCGCTAAAGCCCTAAGGACTCGCAGAAATTATAAAAACTTGTGCTAAAGCTCAAAAGCTCACAGAAAAAATACAAAACCTGTGCTAAAGCTCAAAAGCTCACAGAAAAATAAAAACCTGTGCTAAAGCTCAAAAGCTCACAGAAAAATAAAAACCTGCGCTAAAGCCCTAAAGACTCGCAGAAAAATAAAAACCTGTGCTAAAGCTCAAAAGCTCACAGAAAAAATAAAACCTGCGCTAAAGCCCTCAATGACTCGCAGAAAAATAAAAACCTGTGCTAAAGCTCAAAAGCTCACAGTAAAATAAAAACCTGCGCTAAAGCCCTCAATGACTCGCAGAAAAAATAAAAACCTGTGCTAAAGCTCAAAAGCTCACAGAAAAATAAAAACCTGCGCTAAAGCCCTCAATGACTCGCAGAAAAATAAAAACCTGTGCTAAAAGCTCAAAAGCTCACAGTAAAAATAAAAACCTGCGCTAAAGCCCTCAATGACTCGCAGAAAAAATAAAAACCTGTGCTAAGCTCAAAAGCTCACAGGAAAAAAAAAAAAAAAAAAAAAAAAAAAAAAAAAAAAAAACCTGCGCTAAAGCCCTCAAGACTCGCAGAAAAATAAAAACCTGTGCTAAAGCCCAATGGCTCACAGAAAAAACAAGTTATTTAAGCCTGCGCTAAAGCCCTAAGGACCCGCAGAAAATATAAGAACCTGTGCTAAAGCTCAATAGCTCACAGAAAAACATGTTGTTTAAGCCTGCGCTAAAGCCCTAAGGACTCGCAGAAAATATACACACCTGTGCTAAAGCTCAATGGCTCACAGAAAACATGTTATTTAAGCCTGCGCTAAAGCCCTAAGGACTCGCAGAAAAATATAAAAACCTGTGCTAATGCTAAATGGCTCACAGAAAATATAGCTGTGCTAAAGCACAATGGCTCAAAGAAAACAAACATAATAATTTGAATAAAGTTAAAGATCTGTGCTTAATGTGATATGCACAGAAAGTGTTCCAAACAATTGAACATTATAATGGTAGACATTAAGTGATTGTGATCATTGTCTGTTTATATTTCACTTTGGAGTTTTTTGTTGTTTTTTTTTTTTTTTAATTTTGCTAAAGACTATTTATGGCTTATAAAAATTTATAAAATTTCTGCTATAGCCCAATGGCTCTCAGACAACAATAATTAAGTTAATTGTCTCTGTAAAGACTATATTGTATTCATTATCTTCATGATAACATAAATAATATTATGAATATAGTGACTCTACAAGCTATAATATTCTATTCTATGATATCATATTATTTATACTGGCTTTATTCCCTTCCACCTTCTTATCAACAGACAGGTTTTATGATGAACTAATATACCAAAAAAATAAAAATTAACAATACTCCCCTACGACCGATCCTTGATGACCGATCTAACAGCTGACATGATGGCATGTCTCAAGGACCTGTAAAAGCGTCGCTGTCCATCTTTCCGGAATATGGGAGTCTGTGAGTAAAACAGCCTTCTGTGCTTCCAGAATCTTGCTTTATCATGCATATCCAAAAGAGTTTGCAGGATTGATACTGAATGCAAGCGTTTGTGTTCAAATAAATCTGACGTAACTTTCGTTGGTCGAGCACGGGTGAATATTTCGCACACTACAACTTTCTCTACAGCATACTCCTGAATAATTAGAGCTGTAATTTCTTCAATTCTATTGGCAATGTCCAGAGAAGATTTTACTGAATCGACGTCGTTACCTCCTAATTGAAGAAGTACGATGTTTGGCTCAACTTGTCTCAGAAAATCCCCAAATTTTGAGCTGAAATACGTAACTGCATCACCATCACATACTCTAAAGCCACCTATACCAAAGTGGACCACGGAACACTCTTCCAAATCGTAGTTTGCGGGATATGAATTTTGTTTAAAGTCTTCATGCAGCCGACGAATAAAACTGTGACCTAAAACAGCCACACGTATTCCAGTTTGAATACGACCCAATGCCATATTCCCGTTTTGACTCGGTGACAGTCGGCGATATAAACAGATAAAGAAAACAAAGTTTTTAAACAATCGGTGGTAATCACACCAAAGAAACAAATATATCCAACCTGGTACTTTCCAGATTAAGTTTTGTGTGTCTTATGATATCCACAAATATCCGTAAAATTAGCTATATAATATCACTAAATATCAAATCACTTTCTCTAAAAATTTTTGCTTCCTCTTTCTACGCTTCTTAGTAATTGCTAACTGGTTCAAGACGATTTTATGTAGGGCTATTATCCGTTCAGCCGTCTCTACGAACGGCTAAAACCCGTACCTCCCGTGGCGGCGCATAAAGTTCGCTGATGCTATTCGGCATAGCTTATATATATTGTTTGTAAATATTACAGTAAGTGATGTAGGACAAATACATTGTAGTTTGACAAATTTAACTATAATATTAGAACTATTCACGAACTCTACGTACGTAATAAATGGATATCAAATTTAAAGAAGAAACTATATTTTATAAAAAAAAAACATATTCTAAAGCAAATGACCCTGACGGATGGCACACAAGAGTCCCAGTGCTAGGAAAGACCACAATGGAGTTAAATTATTAGCTCATTTTGGTGATCCCATTTTACCAAAGTTGCTTCATTTTTAAATAATTGTAGATGCTTGCTTGAAGTTGCTACATCGTAATTATCAAAGTTCTTCACACACACTGATGCTTAAGTGCGATCTGTTAAATTTTTTATGAAACCTCACTTTACAAAAGAGCGTTACGATAGGAAGCGTTTTAAATGACCACATTGATATCACTCGTACTTAGATGAGCTAAACCACTCCAAAAATAAGTAAAAACAAACAATGCATTTTGCAAAATATGTACCTAGCATCTATCAAGCATAGCAAATGAACTGACGATTTAAGATTTTTGTAACATTCTGAACACAAGAAATATCTGTATGTCTGTAAAAAGATACTCGTCCGAAGTAAAAAATGGCTCACTTCCATTTTCGTACCGTCTATGCTTCTCGTACCAGTTCAGGCAAATCATACAATTTAAAAAGATAAAAGAGCTGATGCATCAGAGGACAAACACCAAAAGTATGCAACATCTCTTTTCATTTATTTTACAGTACTTATGTACGGATACTGAAATAATATATTAAAGAATGGTAAACATGTAGAAGAACAAAAAAAACCCCAAAACAACACAAATGCAGCTAAATAATAAAGTGCTGAGACACCAAGAACGTTTGAAAATAAAGAAAGACAACAGTTATCACCAGCGAAAGATTTATATATATTGTAATTGATTCAAACCTTCAACTTGCGCATTTCTTCGTGGGTTTCGTCGTATAGATCACCAGGACAGTCCATGAAAACCTCTTTTATCAGTCGGAAGGAGTCACCTTGCAAACTTGCCCCATTAACTATGTCCTTGAAATCCTTAAAAAGGCCGCACAGTCACTTAAAGTTTACTATGATATTAACAAAAAATAATAAGAAAAGAAAATAATCAAACAAGAAAAACAGACAGACAAACAAACAAACAACCAAAAGAACCCCCCCCCCCCCCAAAAAAAAAAGCAAACACTATACATTTTTGTACTTAGCGTTTCATCTGTGGACTTATAAGCTTTCGAAAATTCAAAACATTTCACACACTATCAACTGACACCACTTAATATCTAATATTCTAAATATAAGAAGTATTTTTTAATTAAATGAACATGACAGTTCTTGTCAAGTGTGTTCAAGACAGTAACATGTATTTGCATTATAAATATACAGATGTTTTATTAACCTGTGCAATAGTAATGGCGCGTTCGAAGCCTGCAACAGATGGAATTAGAAGATTCTCAAGACTGGTGAGTCGATCGGAAGTCTTTGAAAGATTTTCTAAAATAAAAAGACAACATATTAGCTATTTAAATGCAAAATCAGTTATCCTTTATATTAGACTGACAATTAAATCTTTAAAATAAAAAGAAGAAAAACGACTGAAGGAATAGTAAGTGAGTACACAAAATAAAGTAAAAGAATAAACATTTTATGGTAAAATGGTTTACTTCATATTGACAAAAATAAATACCAATCTTAATTTGATAACTTTGCAGCTCAGTATTTTTCAAGATCTTCTTTGATTCTAATTCTCCCTTTAATGTCTTCTTGCTTCTAGCAGTGGATCTTATGTCTTCTGCACTAGTTCTCAGTATTGATGCAGCAATCAGACATTCAGATGCATTATCATAGTTTACCTTCATACCAATGCGTGCCAAATACAGCCCAGCTCGGAAAGATATACCAGCTTAAAGACATATTTCAAAGTAGATTTTAATATACTAGTACCACTATAAATTAAGTGAATATATATATATAAATCTTTTTTTTTCAACATTGATATAGCTGTAATTTAGCATCCAATATTCAATGTAATGTTATAAAGTAACAAAATCTCTTTTTGCTAAAGGTAAAGATGTTTTCAGAATACGAAATAAATGGATCACATGAAAGTATGGTGGTTTACTTCACTTACAACATTGCAAGCATATAAAGAATTTGTAAATCCTTATCATAGATTATTTAATTGTTTATGCTAGTAACGTACGCATTGCCATGATACCGCAATGGCTTTTCATATTTTAGCGAAATTTTGTACCACTGACCAAAGGCAAATTTTACCGAAGAAGGACTATATAACGCGTTAATTAGAATATACTTGTAAAAATAATCCTTTTAGTTTTAGTCTTTTAAATACATAAAGCAAATGATATAGTTTTTTTTAAATTTGAATCTAAAATCTGTTCATGTTTTTCTTAAAAACATATTTGCCTGATAAATATAACATGTTTATTGGAAATAATATGACGTGTTTAGTTACAGATTTGCTCCGAAAGAATTGTCAGTTATTTTTGTTCGTGGTTCAGGAATATCAAAAATCCCTAGCAAATTTTGGCTGTTATGCGTATTCCCCCCACTTTAGAGGAATGTCAAAAACAATTTCGACAGATGCAAGGATCAAGAAAACTTGAAACTAACTGTTCAAGTAAACATACATGTGAAAGGTGCAAATACTAATCCTACTAGAGCAGACCCAATGCCCCATAGGAATCCATTGTTTACATGTTGCTGTGATTTACTTTGAAGGTCATTTGCTCGACTTTCCAGGTCAACAGCATCACGTTCCTCATTAGTAGCTTCTTCCTCGTACTTAATTATTTCTTTTTCCGTAATATTAATAATCTTATCTAATCCATCAACTTCAATTTTAGCTGATTTGATTTCATCTTCCGTACGCTTTATTGCACCTTGATTGACTCCAATGAAACTGTTAATGCTTTTTTTCATTTCAAATATTCCTTGAGTACAACATCGAAGGTCTGTTTCAAATGCAGACAATGTGTTGGATAATTTTTCAATCTCAATTTGGCTTGGACAAGACATCTGTGAAAGCATTTTCCATTGCTCTAAAACTTCATTCCCATTGCCTACAAATGCATTACTTAAACATTTGTTGAGATCATCTGCGTCTTTAAAAAGGGTATCGAGTTTATGCTTTATGGTATAATCATTTATATATCTAGAGATGTCCCTTAGCTGCTCCGGTAAACTTCTGATTGCCTGAAAGTAAATTATTCATAAACATGCATCATTTAGTAAATCGGTACAAATGTAACGGCACAAGATATATGGTCAATTGTTGTAAAGTTTTGAAAATGTTAATTTAAGCCAATAGGTATAAAGCTTTGGAACAAGAAAGGTGAGAGAGAAATAATTCAATACATTGGCACACATGTGTGACAATAAGATCCGATGCCGGTATTATTTTTACATTTGATGCTGGCATTTTTACTCAATTAAGGGATTAAAGGGATGTGTATTATTTGAATGAACATAAATAATATGACATCGTACCCTGTGCAAAGAATGAGAGGGGAATTTCATTGACGTCACCAGCTTCACCTTTTCGTAGAACAAAATACACACAGTGAGCCAGCCAGAGACAAGGTTTGACCAACACGAATTCCGAATAATGTTTATTACTTAAATTACGTGCGAAACTTCTTTCTTAATTATTATTGTGTAATATATGTGTATCCGAAATATGCTTTATCCGAATAAGTTCTGCTGTCCTTACTGTAGAATTTAAGTCCACATTTTTTATTTCTAGAACGATGATGTTCTGCTTCACTGATGTTCTGTTTGCTTTTTGATTGTTTTAATTTAGATCTGAGGCCGCATTGTATATAAGGTGCTATAATCTGTATATGTCTTAATGTGTTACCTATGTAGGCATATTTCTGCCACCAGATAACCTGATAACTAACTAGTTAATTAAGAGGTTAACTAGTTACGTAACTAGTTAACCTTGTAATTAACTAGTTAGTTATCAGGTTAACTAGTTACGTAACTAGTTAATTTTTTCAATAAATAAAAGATTATAACGGGAAATAAATGCATATTAGTGCCAACAACTTTTATTATTTTACCAGCTTAAGAGGTTAACTAGTTACGTGGTAGTGATCCTGCACGCTTCCACACTGCTGATTAACATCTAGAAAATAAACGGCACCATCCCAGCAAACATTACATATAGGGCCAAGGTAGGCCCGATATCATCTACAATTTCGGTCCGATATCGGCATCCGAAGTCGGCTTTTATTGGTTTCCTTTCTTAACATATAACAGAACATATATTTATTTTGCAAAACCTTTTATTACATCAGCAAAATTAAACATTCATATGCACAATATATATACATATACGTATTACAATGTTGAAAAACCATGTATGTTTACCTTACGATTTCAACATAAACGTCAGTCAAAATTAAAAATGTTTGAACAAAATACTTTAGTCAATTGACTGGCAAACACAACCTTGCTATATTAATACTATTGTTTGTTTAGATAAAATAAGCTCAATAGCAATTTTCTTACTTATTCCTTTGCTTTTTGTTACATCCTGTAGACCTGAAATCTGTCTAGGAAGTGTTAAGCTGTTATCTTTGATATATTTAGTAACTGTATTTTAGATCAGACAGTTTGAGTAAAACTTTAAAGGACTATAGCTTACCTTTTTCACATTATCATGTTGAATAGAGTAAAACAGCATTTTGTGATTTGTAAATGAGTTAATAATGTCAAGTGTGAATTGTGGTTCCTCCAGGAGTCCTGATATATATTAACTTCTTCAATTGTTTAGTTTTCTAGACGTTCTTTATTTTCACCATGTCTTGATCATTTGTCAGAGGACGCTATTTCCTGTTATTGATTTTCACCTCGGAGACTGTTGCACTCTTTTTTCATCACTACATTCTGGAGCAAAAATTGAAAAGAAACCTTATAAGAACACACATATACATTGTATATACTAACGATACAAGTTACAAATATTGTCTTGACCTATATTTAACACATATATAAATAGTATTTATTTATAAAACAGTTTCTTTTGAAACATTTTTGTAAATAAATCAGTAAAAAAAAAACGATGAAACTTTACACAATAACTCTAAAATCTTAAGCTGAATAATTATTTTTTCGTTATTATAAAATTTGTTGTCTTAGAAAACCTTTACTTACTCATTCTAAGTATTGCCTAGGACTCTGTATTGCATCAATTGGTCATATTTAGCTTCTAAAATAACATTTTCTTTCTCCAAAACCAGCTATTTCAGTTGTCAGCACTCTGATTCAGGAATCTGTTTGTCATGTCACAGCCAGATTATTTACCTGCAATGAATCAGTCATGTTTCAAACATAATACTAACAGAAAATATATCAACATAAATGATATATTCACATTTTTATTACTAAAGGACTAGGTTAAAAACAGTGTCCCTTCAAAAGGCAAGCAGCCACTGTTCATTTCGATCTTTTTAAGTATTGTTAAATCAATTAATATTTCATTTTTTATGATTAAAATTTTCATTTGAAATCTCTATCATAATTATAATTTTTAATAAACATCAAAAGAAAATTATCATTTGATGTTTATTCAATTTCTCTCTCAGTCGCTAAATGTCATGTAACAATTTAAAAACAGTCGCGAAAATGTATCACAAAACAATTTTCGGCGAGGTAATTATGAAATTCAAAAATATGTTCAAAATATCATTGACGCCGAATGCTACAACAATGTATTTATTCAAAAGTAAATGTAATTTATAGATTTACCAGTAGTATTTGAGAAAAAATCAGGCGCCAACTTCCTAGGATGGCTGGTGAGCTAGAAAAGTACCATTTTGAGAAAAATACTTACAACAATAAATCGGCAAAGCCATGGAGCCGATATAGCACCGAAGTTGCCGACTGCGATATTCCGACATTTAGCTGATATCTCGGTGGCATGTGTGTGTTTTTATTTATCTCGTGGCCACGAGATACTATGTCGTGGCCACGAGTTACTAAGTCGTAGCCACGAGATAGCTAAGTCGTGGCCAAGAGATACTATGTCGTGGCCATGAGTTACTTAGTCGTGGGGACGAGATAGCTTAGTCGAGGCCACGAGATACTATGTCGTGGTCACGAGTTACTAAGTCGTGACCACGAGAAAGCTAAGACGTGGCCACGAGATACTATGTCGTGGCCACGAGTTACTAAGTCGTGGCAACGAGATAGCTAAGTCATGGCCATGAGATAAATAACCAATCAGATTACACCATTTATATGAATTTCTCTAATTAACTAGACATGTGCTTTAGTACAAGGATGCCCCTTCTTAACCAGCCTATAAATGTGCCATTTATACAACTTATTGACTTGTCAATCATTTCACATTTAGCGTCACTGTGACCCTGATTTTTGACCCAATGACCTCGAAGTTATTAGATATCACCTACTGATCAGGTGCAATGATCTTTCTGGGTTACATTAACCATGGCTTATCCTTTCTAAATTATTCACCAGACAAGGATTTTATCTTATAGGCTATTTACTGTCCATGGGCAATGTCCCTTACAAATAAAATAAACCAGGACTACTTCCTTCTCATGTTATCGCATAAACAAGGTTAACAGGCCGTAGTATGTACAGACTGACCAGTTCGATCCAAAAATTGTCCCAACAAAGAGCTATAGTCAAAATTAATGTCTGATGGGCCTTGGAGGGTGACTTTCTAATATGATCCTAAAGACAAGTTCAAAGAGAATGTCTTCAGTATTTTCAAAGATTAATGTTGCATGTAAAAGTAAGTTGTTAAGTTTAAAAAATTCATAATATATAAAGTGTATTCTGATTGGTAAATTATCTCGTGGCCACGACTTAGCTAACTCGTTCCAACGACTTAGTAACTCGTGATTACGACCTAGTATCTCGTGGCCACAACTTAGCTATCTCGTGACCACGACTTAGTAACTCGTGGCCACGATATAGTAACTCGTGGTAACGACTTAGTAACTCGTGGCCACGATATAGTATCTCGTTCCCACGACTTAGCAACTCGTGGCCACGACATAGTAACTCGTGGCCACGACATAGTATCTCGTGGCCACGACTTAGTAACTCGTGGCCACGCCTTATCTATCTCGTGGCCACGAGTTAGTAACTCGTGGCCACGACATAGTATCTCCTGGCCACGACTTAGCTATCTCGTGGCCACGACATAGTAACTCGTGGCCACGACATAGTATCTCGTGGCCACGAGATAAATAAAACAAGAACGTGTTTGTTAAACAAAAATGCCCCCGGCTCAAATTCTTGTCAGTAGCAATATTTCAAAAAATGTTTACCCATTCACTCAGTTAAGGACAGAAAAATTGCCAAAAATTGTAAACACAAGTAATATAGCTTGACAAAGTCATAGCATTTTGTAATTGTGAAAAATATAAGTTGCCAAGTCATTGTTCTGACTTGTGAAGATGAAAAATATTCAACTTCATGCAAGTTATCTTCCTACCGAATATGAAATACATCTGTCATTAAATAAAGGCTGTATGGGCAAAAGTGTAAAAATCTATTTTTAGCACTGGTGACCTTAACCAAACTGACCCCTATTTCTATCCAAAAGAAGAATGACATGCAAGTTATCTTCCTACCAAATATGAAAGACATCAGTCAATAAATAAAAGCTGTATGGGCAAAAGTGTAAATATCTATTTCTAGCACAAGTGACCTTGACTCACTGATCCCTACCCCAATCAAAATGATGACCATGCAAGTTATCTTCCTACCAAATATAAAATGTATTTATCAATTAATAAAGGCTGTATGAGCAAATGTGTAAAAATCTATTGTATAGAACTGGTGACCTTGACCCAACTGACCACTTACATCAAAGTTTATGTTTCTATCAATTATAAATAACATCTGTCTATAGAATAAGGTCAATACATCTGTAAAAATGTACTCCACAAAAAATTATAGGACCATCAAAGGTATCAACCTACTAAATATGTACTTTGTATTGATAAGTGTGGAAATTATAAAGCCAATTGAACTTGAGATATTTCCAATTTGCCGCTTTAGGTTAACCTTTATTCATTTTCTAAGTGCTGAAAAGGGCCATAACTTGGTAAATATGAATATGTAACTTGCCCAGATCGTGAACTTTGTATTGATTAGAAAGTGTGTAAACTTAGAAGCCATTGGTACAGGTAGAACTTTAGAAAAATCCAACCTGCCGTTCTAGGTTAACCTCGTACGGACAGACGGACAGACGGACGGACGGACGGTTCAATCACTATATGCCCGGGGGCATAAAAACACACACACATGTCACCTTTGTGCCGTAGATATTGGCCCGATATAAGTATGTTCGCTGGGATCTTATATCTTTAAAATTTATCATTCTAAAGAATCATATATGGGTTTACTGAAAGCACGCAGTTCAATTATTTCTAGATAATTTATTATAGTCCTGGAGATGAAAACTGCCAGCATATAATCTACATCGTAAAACCTAATCCACGTGTCATCCGTTGTTATAATTATTGTTAAGCAACGCCCGTAGTTCGGGCCGCATGCGCTCTTACTCAAGCCTCTTCAGGATTCTATGTCCCCAACGTCAACTAGCGTCAACTTTAATTATTAACATGAAGTTATCATTTTGATAATAATAAATTTGATCCTGTAAGATAGTAAGGTACATGTAAATCACAGTTTTCAATATATGAAAAAAGCTGTATATCGTATGTTGAAATGATCAAATTAAAACAACTATAGTGATGTTGGAAACATATTTGTTTACAACTTTTATCAAATTAACTTTGACATCTTTAAGGTATGACCCACCTAATGCATAACCTCCACTTTGAAGAGTACTCAAATAGGCTAGAACTACTGTCAAATGCATTGAAACTGAAGGGCGCGGGTTCAAGCCCCGGAAGAGGCAACTTTTTTTTTTTTTCTTTGAACATTATTTGTGTCTGTCAGATCACACTTGATAAGGAAAAAGTGTTTCATTATAATTATAAAATTATTATTGGTATTTATTGGCTAAATTGTACCAAATTTATTATCAAATATGGTACCTTGTATTTTCAAAGTCTAATAAAATAAAAACTAGACGGTAAAAGTATTTTATATTTGACAAGCGCAACCAATATACCTTTAAGAAAATTTATGCAAACTTTGATAACAGCCCCTGATTTGAGTGAATTTTATAAATATTTTGATAAAGGCCCTCCAAGTAGAAAAATGATCAAAGTAATAGAAATGATGTTTTTAATGTGATTTCCTATACAATTCTGTGAACCCAGGTGGCTCTATGAGCATGATTCATTAAATGTGTTAATAAAGACCCAAGGTGGTGCTACATGCCAGTTTAGTACCTGTGCTCCATGCATTTTGATTTTGAGAATATTTTTTTTATTGCATGTACACTTAATGATCGAAAAGTGCTTTATGTAACTTTTAAAGAGGTTTTCTTTACTTGGCAAGGTTATATTTTGACTATCTAAGCTCTAGGCATTATAGTTTGTTTGTTTGTTGATTTTTTTAATAACAACAACAACAAAACAACTTTGTGACTCCCTACACAAGTCTTTAAAAACTGTGTTCCTCGTGAGGGCCTTTAAATCATGTTCCTGCAGTCCAAAATGGCTTTCCCTGTCACTTAGTTTACATTGACTTATATATTAAAATTTTTCTCCGAAACTATGTGCACAGAGAAGAGAAAATTTCGTATATCATAACAGTGTGATGCTATATAAAGATTATAAACTATTGGCATAGGGTCAAAATCACTTACTTTACATGGACTCGTATTGGAATACTGTTGTATGAGTCTTCTTGTAGTTCTGAGAGCCTAGTTATTGGACATGATTCTTTAAATCATGACTGGTGAAAAAAAGATATTCCTTATATGATTTTAGCATTCTTCAGTATAAAAGAATTATAGACCTTTTCCAGCAGTGGGTCTTGGGCGCGTGATCTAGGGTCAACAATGCTCTCTTGTTTTATGGGAAAAATAAAGTAGGAATACATTTAGTTTATATTCCAAAGTATAAGCTATGTTTGGTATGTGGGTCAAGCGGTTTTATTGATACCTATTTTAGCACACATAGTCATTAGATAATATTATGTATCAGTCGCCTAAATGTTTGTTTCCTTTGAAAATATCATGTCTACATAAGTAATTAGAAATGGACGGTACTAATTAAATTTTACTTGGTTAAAATGATGTGCAAGTAAGTATAACTTTGAATCATTCTGTTACAAGCTTTTAGCAAGACTAAATTTTGCAGGAAATAATTGCATTCAAAAATAGACAATATTTCACTAAGGCCCAGGCATGATTTTATCTAACATATCGTTCGTTGATGAATATTCAGTCTTCTTTCTGTACAATTATCAAATTATATTATGACTATTGAAACAACTTATATCATGCAAACACATTTAATAACTGAATGTATACATATGATTGTATCTGCATTTATTGATATTTTAGTACACCCTCTAGACCTGAAGGAAAACAAAAATACCTTAATACAATAAAATATTTTTACAGTGAATATTTGCATAAGAATTCTTTAAAAAAAACACTATTTTGTACTACAGTTGTCTGATAGATTTACCCCACCCACTTTTAATAAGTATAAAACCTTCACATTTTTGTTTGTTTTTGTTACAATTATACAATAAAACATGTTGATTGAATATCAAATACACTTTAAGAAACTATGTAACTTTTGGAATTTTGTACATAGACCTAGAAAACTATGTTAGAGAAAAATGAAAAAAAAAAAAAAAAAATGGCACATTTTCTTTGATTTTTTAAAGATTTTTTTTTTGGCACAAAAAACTAAAAACATGACTAACAATGTGGTTTACCTAAACTTTGATTTTTTTCTAATATATTTCACAATTTTATATGGAAATACGCAAAAAATTATACTACAAAAGAGATATATCAGTTTTCATTAAAATTGGCAGCCATATTGGACGCAATCTTGGATTCTGAAGAAATATACAAGAGAAATTGCTTTAAGATTTAAATTTTTGAAAAGGGGAAACTATATGCATGCTTTGGTGTAAGTTTCAGGTCTGTACAAAAAAATGGAATGAATGAGCTATTGTGTACATCAAATTTATATGGTGGCCATCTTGAAAATGGCGGTCATCTTGAATGAGCAGAGATATTTTTGGGCCCACTTCACTTTTGAAATCTGCATGGTTTAAAGATAATTTCCTGAAAGTTTCATGCTTGTATCACAATTTGCACTATTTTGACAGCAGAGACCTTATTTCCCGCCCCACTATATAAGAATTAAAGGCTGCCACAAAAACGAAACCTCATTTTAATATCTTTAAATGATAATGACATGATTTGTTACCTTTAAATTCAAATTAAAAATATAAGAATAGGCAAATGCATAAAAAAAATAGAAAAGATGAATACCCAATCGCATAATTTATTAGTTAAACTTACAAAAGATCAATTATATTGAGTTTTACATTATCAAAAAAACATATTTAACAAAAAATAATAAATAAAGATAAGTAAATAAATTAGAATAAATACTCAAACATCTTCTTGTTATAACATACCAACGCCATTTTCTATCACAGCTAATATTTTCGTTGTCTGTCTCTGTTTACAGAAGGAAACACTTAAATAAATCATTTACACAAAAGTGATACAGACAAAATGGCCGCACAATGTATATCGCGTACATCGGGAAGATAATACAAAGTACGGACATAATCTAAACTTAGAATAAAAAGTACACTAGGTGGAAAATAGGCCACAGCGCAAAAACGGGTGCGCAGTGCGCAATTTCATTCTGTTAATATGGCGGCTTCGACGGAATTGGTTACAAAGGTACTTTGTTTTTGTTTTTTGTTTTTTTACAAGGATTATTTAAAACTGAATATAGAAAAGATATCTTTAATAATAATAAAAATAATAATAATAATGATAATAATAATAAAATAATAATAATAATAATAATAATAAAAAAAAAACAAAAAAAAACACACAACAACTAAATATTGTTATGACTGCCTGCAAATTCTACCCATGTACAGATAAAAACAAATCACGTTTTCATTTGTTTATTGGATGTGAACGGAAAAGGCAGTAGTGAAGGGGGCCATTATGGCCCCATTTGATAAGTACTGGAAAGAGCACCGAAACACGAGGCTATCTGATTTGTACGAGGGGCGGTAAATCAGATTGCCGAGTGTTTTTGTGTTCTTTCTATTTTAATGTATCATTGTCAAACATAACAACGCGTTCCCTCTTGTCACAGTATGAAACCCCAGAAAAAGTAACCAATGAAAGAGCATCTGAATATAATACTTTTGCCGCCTTTCATTCTCTGCCGTCCCAGCAAAAATGAGCCAATCAACGGGCATGCGGGTAATTGATACCTGTACTCCAGTTAACGCACTGTGCATGTATATGTATACGATTTAACTCTGACACTTTTCAACAGAAAGGTCCCCAAACTATGATACAAAATTTGAAAACCTATGGCCCCATTTTCTAAAAAAATTGGGAAACTTTTGGCCCCATTTCAAAGATGGATAGGGAAACTAATGGCTTCATAAAATTTTGGGCCTGTAATAGATGGATAGGGTACACTTTAACCCTCATAAAATGAGAGAATTATGTTCTAAAAACAGCCCTTTTTAACCTGTGCTGACATATATATCGATCAGTGTGTAAACAAATTTAAATTCCAGGAATCGTGAATACATGAGTTGTACTTTCACTATAATCCTATAATCTGTACTGTACTGCAGAAGGGTCGCCATAGATATATATAATATATAGCAAGATGTGCAAAATAAGGGATTAAGGGGACATCTAGGCTAATTGCACTTCTATTGTCTTTATCTATAGTTATGAAAATAACAGCATGCACATGTAATGAATATAAGAGAAATTACACGTTGCCAGTCTAACATTGACAATGTTTTAAAAAGTTATAATTGCTGTTAGAAAAACAAACAATAGCCAAGTGTCTCTCTACTCTATTGTAATTAAAAATGTTTAACAAGTTTTGTCTTTGTTATTTCCTTTTGTTTCATTAACTTAACATGAGATACAATCAAGGAAAATTTTGCTTTAAAATGATCTGTATGACTAATACAAACACAACAGCTTTAATGTTTCAGTGTAACAAAATATTATCGTATTTATCAGTTAAGATGTAGTATCGCACGGTTATTTAGGTCCCTTAAAATATGTTTAAATGCGTATTAAGTCAATGTTGAAAACAATAAATGAGCCGCGCCATGACAAAACCAACATAGTGCGTTTGCGACCAGCATGGAATCAGACCAGCCTGCGCATCCGCGCAGTCTGATCAGAATCCTTGCTGTTCGCTATCTCTACTTGTTAAAGAGTTGGCAAGCGAACATCATGGATCCTCATTTTAAACATAGACAAATATACAACGAAAACAATGTACAGCCTTATAAGACATGTCATGTACGTCCCAATTCTTTTATTTTCACCAACTTTAGATAACGAGTTGGCGAGCATCCTTTTATTTGCGTGAGGTATTTAACTTCGTGAATAAATACATGTAGCTAAAATATTTCAAATGGAAACTGAAAGAGTAGAGTTGAGAATAAAAACTGTTAAAGACAATATTTGAGCCGTGTCATGACAAAACCAACATAATGGGTTTGCGACCAGCATGGATCCAGACCAGCTAACTCCCTTGCATTTGGCTGCAAACTCCAAGTTGCAGACAAGATCTTAATTTTGCATATAGATCTAGATGAAAAAAAAAAAATGAAATAAAAATGTTTAGTTTTCATTGATTTTGATTTTTCTGAAAAAAAAAAATGATTGTAATATATTGGACAATTTCTTATATACTTATTTTGATTTTGACGAGGTTAATTAGCATTATAACATTGATTCTTTAAAGCTTAACTCAATCTGAAAAAAGAGAACATTCAAAAGAAATTGTTTATATCATATTTTTACATTGTGTACGTCACTCTGTGTTTCTGTTGAAAGGCCGTATATTTTGTTTTCTGAGTTTAAAAGTCTCATCTTTCGCATAGGGTGGTATAAACTGAAACTTTAAAGATAATTCAAACCATACCTCATTAAAACACTGATTTCTCGGGCTCGAGACTGACACAACAATAGAATAATTCTCTCTAACATGGCTTCCCGTTGATATACCCGAGCAATTGTTTTATTTTAATTCGCTCATATATATGTGCTTTCCCCCTTTTCTTATAATTGAGTTCTTGATTGTTAACACATATTCGAATAAGGTAACATCCTAAGTATACCTATAGAATCAATTAGCAGCTACGAATATGTTGATCAATCTACGCCCAAATTATTGATTTCATTTTTGATATTTTATTTTTTCGAAACTCTTTTCTTTTTATACGCCCGTGCGTATTGGCGTATCGGTAGGTACACCACTGTCGGTAAGTGTGTTTACGTGTGTGCCATAATTCCCATCACAAGTTCGTACATGAGTACGTAACCCGTGATAGGAATAAGATGGGATTGCTCCCATACCTAGTTTAAATTACGTGTATTTATAGAGTGAACAGCATATCTTATCTAATTTAAAAGTTAAGAGGCCGAGACGTTTATAAAGAGTACCGTCTCTTATAACAGATCAACTTGTATCGAAACGATGTCAATTATGGAATGCCTGTAGGGACATGCCACTTTGCTTATTTGCCAGCTTATTTGCTAATTGCTGATTTGCCAATTTTCTTATTTGCTGATTTGCCAATTTGCTTATTTGCTAATTGCTTATTTGCTTATATACATAATTTTTTATGCTATTGTCAGGCGACACGTCCGACTCGCGAAGTTCTTGTTTGATATAAAATAACAAGTCTTTGTAGACTTTATTTTAAGCTCATGAACCTATATCATGTTATTATGTTTATAAAGTTTTGTTAATTATAACTTGTGACAATTATGATCAATCCATCATTACCTAGAATATAGGTAGAAAGACAGATGGATACATTTTAATCAATTTCGAAAAAAATAAATTCAGTTTCAGAAAGTACATGTAGTTGTTTTTTTTTTAATTATCTTGAGTTTCAGATTTAGCTCCACTATTCAGAGAATAGGGATGCTATTCTACCCACCAATGCATTGGCTTTCTTGGTAACTTGTTTTTCTGTCATATCTCTGTTACTTTTGCTGATTCATGCATCTTACTGCAACTTTGCATAAACTTTGCAGCAAAGACAAACACCCGTGTTAAGCATGCACCAAATGTATCATTCGTGATACTATGTGTTCGTACCACTAAAATGAGGCCCTCTGTGACAAATCTGCTGAGAATAACGACATTTTATATGCCATAAAATAAGAAATAGTTTTGTTTTCAAGTTCTTTTATTTTCAATCTTTACCCAATAATTTTCACTTATATATGACTAATCAAGTGTTTATTATGCCATCAACACATTATAAGGCATTCTCAAGCACAGATGCTGGCGGGTCAGATCCTGCCCCTAACGTGATACGCGTCTGTAAACACTATATCAAAACTATTTTAATATTTATTTAAATACGAATTGGACATTTGTTACAACGATAAAACCATTAAGTACTTTATTGAGACTTGGTGGTATATGGTATTTTTTCATTACGGTAAAAATTGCTTGAAACCCAGTTTTAACGATGTCCAATTCGTGTTTAAATATTAAAATATTTTAAAAAGAGTGTTTACAGGGGCGTATCACGTTCGGGTACGGGATCTGACCCCCAAGCGTCTGTGTTCTCAAGGACATGTCAGCCATCAGTTGTAGACATATGTCTGCGTGGGCATCACTGCAACTAAATTCATTGACCAACAGTATTCTTGGAAAAGCACTGAATTTACAAGAATACTGTTGGTAAAAGTTAACAGATCTGACTCAACTGGTTGTCTGTAGTCAGATTTTCAATATACTTCCGGCACAGTGTAAACTATTTCTGTTGCAAAAAAGCAAATTAGCAATTGGCAAATAAGCAAATACGTAAACCAGCGGTTAACAAATAAGCAAATTAGCAATTCAGCAATTGGCAAATAAGCAAATGTGTCGTTAAGCCTATCAGCCATTGGCAAACAAGCAAATCGGCAATTAGCAAATAAGCAATTCAGCAATTGGCAAATAAGCAAATTGGCATGTCCCTACCGGCATTCCATAGTCAATCTTTAGTTACGAAAATATTTGCTTATACAAGCCTTTCCAATACGAAGTAAACAAGTTTCAGAATAAGATATGGCATAAAACATTTTTGCTAAAAGTAACCATTGGCCTTCAACTTTACAATGCATATTCATTTGGATTGTTTAATTTAAATTGTTAGTAAATCAATACCTCCAAAGTAATTCCGATGGTTAATATATGTTCCGTAACAATGTATTCAAAAGCTTTAAAATTCAGTATACAAACGGAGCGAATGGTGTGTGTTAAACTACTACACAATCTGTCCAAGGAATTGAACATTAAAAGACGTTTATTAAAGTCAGATTTTTCATTTTTTTTGACAATAATGGAAGAATAGCTGACCGATATAAAATTAAGTAAACAAACATCAGTTCCCTTATTTTTAGGTTATAAAGGAAGTAAATATGCTCGCCAATATGGTCTCTTTCCGGTGGCGAGGGTAAACAAACTCAAATTCACACCATTATCATTTTCCTGCTAAAACAAACTTGTTTAAATAAATTTGGCACTCCAATGTATTTGTATCCGATCAAATTAGTACCATTATGAATATACCACATTGAATTGGGGAATAACGTTCCTGACATTGCTAAAAAAAATATTCTTTTTGTTTAGATTTATGATAATATAATACTGTCAAAAAAGTTATCGAATTTTA